GCGGGGGGCTGCAGGCTGGGGGGGGGGGGGGGGGGGGGGGGAGAGATGCTGGGGAACAGGGACAGATTTCAGGAAACCCTGGAAGGCAGGATTACAGGAAAAGGAAATGGGGGCAGACTCCAGGCTCAAGCCTAAGACCAGGGCTTAGCTCCTCTGACCAAGCACAGTGCCAGCTCTCACAATACCCTGCTCCCTACTGTGTCTCAACCCACCTGTCCCTGTCTGCATTTCCCAATAGGCTGCCCGCTTTCCCTCCGTTCCCCTCTCCTCATCTAACTTACAACTCACTGTCCTCCACATACTTAAACTTTCCAGGCCTAAGCAGCTCCAAGGAGCTCAGCCCCCAGGGCAGAGAAAGGGGGAAAACTAAAATCAAAACCCTGAGCCTGACACCTGACTACAGGGTAAGAACAATGGCCCAAGCGTGGCCGGCTGTACCTGGTCAGGACTGGGAGGGAATTGCCAGGAATGAAAAAGGGGAACAGGAGCAGGAGCAATGCCGCATGGAAAAGAGTAAGTCTTGGAAAGTAGGAGCTGAAAGTTGGAGAGTGTGCCAGGTCTTGGTGGGAGAGGGTCTTAGAAATCGCTGGGTTAGGAGGGCAAAGTGAAGAAGCCAGATGACAAGAATCGGGGTCTGAAAAGGGAGCTTGGGAAAATAGGAGTGGGGAGTGTGATGGTGAAGAATTAGAAACGGAGATGGGAAGGGTGACCCTGGATGAAAGAAGTTAGCGGGTGAATTAGAAGTTCAGACACTGAGAAATCGGGGGAGTAGAGGGCCATCATCCCACCTCAGACACTTAGGAAGGAGGGAAGTTGTGGTACCCAGATGGAGGCAGGCGGACCCTGGACACTCCTCGAGCAACACACTGGCTGCTGCAGAGGAGGTAGACGGGACCAGGAGACTGCACGGGACTCGAGGTGCAGCAGGGGCGCTCAGTAGTTGAACTGGCGCTGGCACGGCTGGTAAATGAAGCTGCCCTGGTGCTTGGGCTTCCGTGAACGACTTTCCCGGGCGCGATTCTGCCGTTGCAGCACTTTAGCACTCAAGGCGTGGCGCTCTGCCCGCTGCCGGGCCCTCTGCAGCCTCCGCACCTGGCCAGCCTTCTCCAGCAGCGCCGCTCGCGCAGGCAAAGCAGCAGCTGCTGCATGGTGCAGAGCCCTGGGCTCCCGGCGGGCAGGCGCCAACTCTCTGCAGGGACAGAGTACAAATGTCAGAGGGGGACAGGGGGCTTGAGTCTCCCACCCTGTCTCTTGGGGCAGAACACATGATGCCCTGAGGGGTACCAACTCTTCCCTCAATCCCAATTAGAGATATTTCTTAGAGTCTACCCTGAGGCAGCTAAACTAGACAGGAGAGGGAGAGGGCTCCACCCCCCAAACAATACAAGCCCCACTCTGCGCTCTGGCTTAGCAGTCCAAGATGATCCCAGTCGTCTGAGCCAAGACTCTCCCAAGCCCCATCTTAGCCATAAGACGATCAGTTATCCCTGTAACTACCCACCTGGCCCGCCCTTTGTCTCAAGGACACTCCCCTGCTAGGCTCCTAGGCCCGAGCGTGCCCACTCACCCATCACTGAGATCCTCCTCAGGCAAGACAGCATCAGGGTGAGGGGAGGGCGGCCCAGACTCCAGCACTATGGTGCTGCCGGTGACATAAACGGACATGCTGGGATGTTCAATGAGGAGGTCCTCCAGGGGGTTGCTCTGGAGGCGTGCGGGCCCAAGACCGGGCCCCTCTGCAGTAAAACAGGCGGGAGGGGTAACAAACCAGCTCTCGTCCATCAAGGAGGGCGCGGGTGGAGGGCGGCCTGCCGGAGCAGGAGAAGCCCCAGGGTTTGGGGGAGCTGTGTAGCTGTCTATAGGGTGTGGGAGTGGGGAGCCATGCGTAAGAGAAGGAGCAGCAGGGGATAGGGGTGGGACACACACACACATACCGGAAACAGGGGATGGGGAGAGAAAGGGCATCGTTAGTCAGACCTACAGCCCCTGTCCATCGTGCCCAGAGAGCACCTGAGAGCCAGGGTCCTTACCCTGCTGCCCTAGGGGGCCCCAGGTGTATGCCCCCAACAAATCAGGAGACAGACAGGGCTTTCGGGAGAAGGGTCTGTGTTACCTCACCTCTAGGCGCACTGCCTCAACTTCATTTTGCCCAGGAGGCCTATGGGGACTCCAATTCCCAAATAGCCACATTCCCCTTCCATATTGCATAAGGCCTCCCTGTCCTTATGGTGCCTTCCTAGTGCTGGCCCCCTGACTCAGGCCTCACCCTGCAGGCCAATGATGAGCCAGCCATCCACTTCATCCTCCTCTGAGACGAAGGCCCCAGGACAGTTGGAGTCTTCAGGAGGCGAAGGAGTGCTGAAGAAAAGGCTGGTAAAGCGCTGGAACATGGTCAGCGGGTGAAGCAACCTCAAGGGGGCGCCCTATGGCAGTGCGAAAACCTAGGAAGCAGAGAAAGACATTAAGGCTAAAGTCTACCTAATGGTGGTGGCTGGGGGACAGAGGGCTCCAGGACCCTGAGCATGGGCAGGCTCTTGTGTGTGCTTTTCTGCAGTCAGCAGGCTTTCCTGTGTGAATTCAGGAAACTGTTGGTCTTTGTATTCTTATTTGTCAAACAATATCCTAATCAGAATTAAATGAGCTAAACACTTATAATGTGTTTAGAACAGTGCCTGAGCACACAGTAAGTGTCCAATAAGCTAATATATTTGCTGTTACTACAGGTTGCTTTGGGGATACGGAAGAAGTGATATATATGACTAGGCTTTGTCTCTGGAGAATGAAACAGCTTTGAAAAGTAAATAGGAAATTTCCATTGAGGGAAGAAACTGCTCTTACTATCATCATCATCATAAAATTAATATTCATGTGTCAGGTACCATCCTAAGCAACTCCATCTGTTTTACCTATGTAGTCCTCACAATAACACAGAATCAGAGCAAGGTATGAAGGTACAAGCCTGTAATCTTAGTACTTGGGAGACAGAGACAAGAGGATCAAAAAGTTTAAAGTCAGACATGAGAAGCCACATCTATCATCCTAGTAAGGTGGAGGCAAGAGGATCAGGAGTTCAAGTCCTGCTTTAGCTACATAGTGTGTTTAAAGCCAGTCTGAGCTACATGGGACCCTACCTAAAAAAATAACAGTCCGTGGCTGTATGAGATCCTGTCAAAAGGAAGAGAAAGGGAGAGAGAACATCTACTTTTTTTTCTGGTAAAGAGAGAAATAAAACAAGGCTCAGAGAGGTAAAGCAACTAGCCCAAAGTCTCACAGCTAGTAAGACACAGGTAGCATTTGAATCCAGATAACCAGTGGCTCCATAATCACTATAGTCCACTCCTGTCTTTTCTGGGTTATCTGTCTAGACTAGACATTTTTAGCTTTGTAACTAGGGCTGTGTCTAGGTGTGTTTTTCTAGGGGTTAAAAAAAAAAAAGATCTTGGATTTCAGCAAGGTTTTCTGAGCAGCAATCTTTGACCCCAGAGATCAATAATACTCATAGGACGTTGTGTGGCTTGAAAAGTGCTAATAGAAACCGCATGGTTCTTGCTACAATCTCACCATGGGATTGGACGACCCTCAGATGTGTATTCCAGATGAGGTGTAAGATCCTATGCTCACAGGTCCTCCTTACTCTAACCCCTTCCCCCAGACTCTTGTTCAAGGACAGCATCTCTGGCCAAGACAAAGAATATTGTGTTGCCTTACCCTAGTAAAACAACATGTCAGTGACAGATGATGGAAGAAGGAAGCAGTCAGATCTAAGCATCCCTTAAGGATAAACACAAGGGTTGGACCAAGACCCAAGCCTTCAGACAGTCCTTCCCTGGACCAAGACAAAAAAGAAGCCCCCTGTTCTAGGATGGAGACCTCAAAGTGATAACGTTAATCTATCAAAAAAGCTACAGCTTAGTAGTGGTGGGGAAATGCAGAGCATATATAATCAGAAAAGCCTCAAAGATAATATTCAAGAAAGTAAAAGTGCACCGAAGACAGGGAGATTGGACTAGTGCCTTGATCCAGCCATCACCAAGTTCTAACATGTATTTCCCAGAGTTCCTGCTGTATCAGACCCTGCAAGGAACCTCAACTGATGACATGTTGAGTGAGGTAAGAGGCTCAGCAGAGAAGGTACCTGGTGGAGATCATGCAGGAGTCAGTGACAGCCAGGAGAGATGACAACAACCAGCCAGCTATGACTGCCCACTCCTCCCTTTGACCACAAGGAGAGCCTCCTGGGTTTTCTTCCCTAGCCTGCTGGCTTCCTGGTTCTCAGTTTCCTGGCTCCACTCCAGGAAGAACCTTCCCTTAATACTACAGCAGCTGTGCCCAGAATAGCACTTGAGCCCTAAGCCACCCCTAGCCCAGGCCATTCCTGAACAAACCCCAGCCTGGGAAGAGGATCCAGATCCAGCCTCCATATCTACTCACTTGGAAAGAAAGGAACATTCTGATCCTCTGGAAGAAGACTCTCCAGACAGCACTAGTGCTAGGGAAGGTCTGGTTCCTCCTAGCTGACAGCTTGGGATCTGACAAGGTGATGAGAGGCCAATAAAGGGAACTCCCAACTCATTCTCAACAACATCTGCCCGGGAGACACCGGAGGCAGGCAACTAGTGACTCACCGTTCTGTGGTCAAAACAGCTGGGAGACAGCAATTTATTGGGTTCTAAGATAGAGAGAAGGCAGAGAAGGTCGCCTTGAAACCGACTCAATCTTTACGGACCTCCTGGAAAAATGTCCAGAATCGGGGAGACTGAAACATTCTATCAAATTGGCTTGGTGCTGAGCCCAAGATAGGGTCCCCAGTAGATGGATATATAGCTGGTTAATTGAACTGAGCTTGTACTAAGCATTTGCCCCCAGCTAAGGAACCTGTCACTCATAGAGTGTGACTCTAATTGGCTGAGTTCTCCAGTAAGCTATGTCTCTCTGGGTCTCAGTTTTCCCTTCCATGAAATGGGGTTTAAGACCCTCAATATCTGTAGGCTGAAAATGACATCAACCAAGGCTTTGCACACATGTCAGGGATTAGCACGATGTTATTATGTTGGGGGGGGCGGAGCCTGAAGACAGGGCATCAGCTGCCATCTGGTGCTGTCTCGTGGACCCGGACTCTGAAGTCTCTTTGATCCACCGACCTCCCTCTCAACTTAGATTGAGCTGTGCCTTCTGACCCTTCCTCAGGTTGCAAGGAAAAAGCAGATGAGAGGCCCGACCCCAGTCTCTAGATGAGCCCGGGAAACCGCCGAGTCCCCTCGGGTATTGCTTGCCTTTCAATGTCTCTCAACCCTGGGCCGGGCTCGACACAGCGCCCACCGGGTCACCAGAGGACAAGCACCCAAGCAAGCCTGGAAGGCGGGGCTGGCCTTGGTGACGTCTCAATGTCATATGCAAATAAGCGACGTCATGGCCTACCGGCTTGGGGCAACCAATAGAGAGCCGAGAACGCAGCTCCAGCGGCCGCCGGCGGAGACAGACAAAGAACAGACAAAGG